AAAAAAAAAAAAAAAAAATAGCAAGCACCCGTGTAATACACGGGTGTTGTACTAGCTGTAAAATATATATATATCTATATATTAATACAAAACGCGCTGAGCCTACGTGGGTGCTTCTGGTGCTTCGGAATCCTATGTGGCAAAATTACATGCTTCGTTATTAGACTTGAGTAAATTTTAATTTAATTCCAAACAAAAAATAATTAGGTTCGGATTACCATAAATATGTTGATTATTTATGGTCATGTTACATGTATTAATTGTATTTTTATATCATTCCTTATTATAACTATTAAATTGTATATATATTTTAAAAGTTAATAACTTTTGTATTTTTTATCAGTTTTACAGATGAAATATATCAAATTAATCTTCTTTATATGAGCTTCGATTTAACATCCAATTGTATGTATAAAAAAAAATAATTTATATTTATCTTTATAACAATAATAAAATTATTTTTAATATTAGTTAGGAAAATAAAATTATTTATCAACTAATATATTTATATTTCAAATAGCTATATGATATAAGTTATAACAACTAATATAACATAACACATGTAAGTCATAAGTAACACATATCATTCTAAAATATATATTAATATATTTTTTTTTTTTTTTGTAAAAAAGTAAACTAAATTTAATATAGTTTTCTCATTCATTTTAAAATTTAAGAATAATTTTTTTAACAAGTACCCGTGTAATACACGGGTGTTGTACTAGTCCAATATTAATTTGAATTGTTTTAAATAAGCAAAATTTTGAAATAATTATTTGCATATACAAAATATTAAAATCGAATATGTTATGGAATTGTTTATTTAATAAAGGAATTTTTTTCAAAACATATCCTACATTATCTTTTTAAAACAATTAAAATTATTTTCAAATGTATCCAAAAGAAATCAGTTATGTACAAGATAATATATCATATTTTAAAGAATCCATATTTTTATGGAATTGTTTCCTTAATCACATCCTAAAAAAAAGAAATATATTTAGTTAGGCTTATTCTAAAA